TTCCTTTCCCGGCTTTCGAACTTTGATCAGATTTTATTTTTACTTTTGCTTTTAATTAATTTTTTTAAACTCCCCCATCGTTAATGAGAAATCTTTGCTTGCTTTATTAGTTGAGCAGCTGGGGTAGTTTTTTCACGGGAGACTTTCCCGAGCTAAATCTAGCAACCTGTGTCTCTATAATCGAAATCGCTTCTGATTTCTTTGATATTTCATGTGCTATAAAGGCCCRTTTACAAAAACGATTTTTTTCGGCGATTTGCAGTGCGATTTCCACTGCGATTCTTGCAGAAAATATCACCGAAAAATCGCAATAAATTCGAACGTGTTCAGAATAGCGGCGATTCATCGGCGACTTGAATTTATCGCCTCAAAATCACCGGTAGTTTATGATCGCACGAGAATCGCCGCAAGAATCGCCGAAAAAATCGCCTGTGTAAACGGGCCTTAAGAGGCTGTAGACAGTTGGGCTGGGGTTTGATATATCTTGAAAGAAACTTTCTCTGCAAGATTGACATACGCTTTCTTTTTATTCGAAGACTAAAATTCGAAGCTGATTACAAACTTTGTTGTTGCACTTTTACTCTCCATTTTCGTTTTTTTTTTTCCTTTTTTTCTTTTTTTTTTTTTCCCCACTTTGGTTCCGTTGTCGCAAGGAAAGCACTGCCTCTTTCCTTGATTTTGTGTTTAGTTCCTAGGGCTATCTAGACTATCTAGACTAAACCAACATAATTATATGAGCAGATCTATTTGTTTACTCTCTTGAGGTGAGAAGGTTTTTCCGGTTTTCCTCCTTATCTTCTACGAAKGTCATTTTCGGTTCGCCTTCGTCTCGGTGAATTCACCGAAAATCGCTTCACCTTTGACGAATATAATTGCTGATATTATCTTTGCATGAAAAGTAAATGCTGTTTCATTCCAATTTCTGTCTTGGAAGGATAGTTACCTCGTCGTATTCTCTAAATACYTAATTTGCAACAGAACTGGAGATTCACCTGTCATGGCCGTTGCTACATTTTCCATTGTCGTAGCGCGAGTGATTCTTCCAGTTGTTTCCAAAGCAACTTGATTGTCTCTTTCTTTTTYCCTCAGCCTTAAAATCGACCAAATCCCTCGTCGAAATTCGGCGTTTCTCAAGCAGTAGATSATTGGATTTAAAGAGCTGTTGAGATACGCAAAGCTATCTGCCCAGGTAAACATGACATGTGATACCTGTGCCTCGAGTCGAGCCAAGATGTTTGCTAATAGAACCCCAACAATCGGTATATAGCAGAGTAAAATGCAACCTACTATAAGAGTAGTAGTCCTGAGAGCTCGTTTTTCTCTTTTGCACTTCGAAGCACGGCCATTGGCGCTGTTAGCTACACTGACCATCTGTGCCTTGATGTTTTTTACATGCCTAGATGCTAGTCTCTCGATACGGATGTACGCACACCCAGTAAGAAAATGACAGGTGATGATGACACTACTGACCGTAATGCGAAAGATCTTCGTTGTGACTCCAATAAATCGACTCATTACTATCAAAGTCCAAAATAACCAAATGCCTAACACAAGGGAGACTATGCGACGCTTCGAGACCAGACTTGAATATTTTAAAGGCTTGAATATCGCGAGGGATCTTTCGAGGCCCACTAGCAGTACTGTCACCAAGGACAATATCGAACATAACGCCCGGGTTACTGTATACACGACCACGACTGGGCAGTTTGGTGGCTTTGCATGTATAGTAGCAAGTTCAAATGCCATAAATAATGGCTGCACAACAATACCAACCAAAAAATCTGTTACAGCAAGAAATAAAATCAAGATGTTTCCAGTTGTCCGAAGTTCCCTTGTCTTGAATATAGCCATGATTACCAAAGCGTTTCCAATCGACGCAACAATAATCATAATGGCATTTAAACTTATAGCAGACACACTGGAGGCTACGATAAGCCGTGTAACCTCGAATGAACGAACAGGGAAGTAAAGGCAACCGGTCACGTTCATCTTGCTTTGGCGCAGATCAAAAAGAATAACAATGTTCTTGTCCGTAAACCCTAATATACTTACTCACCAAACCATGGGCGCTATTACGTAAGTGCCTCCTATTGTTCTTCAAATTATATCTTTATCCAAGAGTTTAAATGAATTCCTCCAAMTTACGTTAGCCAAAGCTTATTATTCTATCAGAACAAATCGTGAGCCATTTAATTYATGTTTACTTATTTCAACGCTGTAGTTTAGCTTTCCAGGATTTATCTCCAGTGTTGTTATCTCTCTTCGTGAAATTCACCTGTCTTCACGTCACAGATGACGTGTTTTTTCTTGTTTGTTTGCGAAGCCTTGCCAGACGGAAGACTCTCTTTATCTGCAAAATTGTTAACATCCAACATATAAAAATAAAATAAAATTTAAAAAAACGTCATATAGCACTCTATATAGATCATATTGTATTGCATATACGGCTATGTTTTAGTACCGTTGTCGTTCGTTTTACGTATTTGCTTAGCATTATTATGTAGGAACTATATAATATTTTTAATTCAAATCAACAAACTCCAAATGATTCGTCTCTTTAATTTCTATAATAAAGGCGGTAGTCATCTATTGAATAGGTTCGAACTTGTTTTGCGTGAAAGCAAAAACAAAGACTTGTGCGTTTAGTTTCACTCTATTCATTATGCTTCCGCTTAACGTTTAATTGCTTTCCAATGTTTATTCAAAATATTGAATTATTTAAACGAAATATTGACGTTACAAGCCAAACTAAAAATAAGGATCTTAGTCAGTCCTAGACAACTGACAGCCTCTTTTTTTCGCCAGAAAGAATGGTTCTCCCTTTACCACCAGGGAATATTTATATAAAAAGTGTGTTCAGTTTTGCAATCGTAATAGTTTCCAACCTACCTCTAAGAGAGCTTTAATTGAAAACGATAAGGGTGAGAGTCAGTCCTCRTATAAACAATTAACTCAACATCAAGAAAATTAGAATGATCCAGTGCACTTTTCACTCGTAAATAATAWGCTTATTTTAAATTAAAAATTATGGAAATATTTAGTGAATGTATTATCATTACCTTTGATTTAACGTTCGCGCTATACCACAGAAATCTGACTATTGACTTGATGTCTTCACTTCTCGTGCTAGCACCAACCTTATAAATAAAGTTAACTTTAATTCAAGAATGCCTTTGAGTAAAAGTGAATTTCAAGCTGATTTGGTCGACGCAGTGTCGATAGAAAGCGCTAGCATCGTGCTGAAACTAAATGCACTAGCCAATCAAAATGCTCCATATAGCACGTCATGCTGAATGCTTTCGTCAGTTGCAGCTATAGCAGTTTCCAAATACTTGACGTATTAGTCTCGATATCTTAGTAATAATAAACTCGTTATTTAAAGAGGGTAGCACGGAATAGTTTACAACTGATTATAACTGCAAAAGAGTCCAAATGGTTTGAGGATGACCAAAAACTAATAATAAATAATGATAAATACTTAATTTACCTCGTGATAAGGGACTGAATTCGTTGCCTAGTCTCCCTATAGCTAGAGGCTAATGTTTAAGTATACTCCACTGACTTCCACACTAACTAAACTAACTATAGATACCACTGCATTTAATGTTTTAAGCACACAACTCTCTATATACATGCTGATTTTTACGGAGGGAGGAAAGCGGAAAATCCCGGAGAAAACAGTCGTGGTTAGGAAGACAACAACACATTGAACAAAGTAAAATCACATGTGGCGTTCAAGTGTGTTTAAAACCGACTCATTAGATTTTCATCTTGAAGCTGATTTAGTCCTTCTTAGCTTTTTAATTTGGCCTTATTGTCTACATGTGTTTTTTGTTTGTTTGTTCTAGTCTTTTAAAATTCATAGTAGAAAAATACGAATCGAGTTTCTCAAAAGAGCAAAGCATTTAAAGACGACTCTCAAGACTAGCCACAAAATACAAAAGAATGCGAGAAGAAGCGGAGTTATATAACATGGGTGGTTCATGATTCTAGATTAATCAAAAATAACATAAAATTTGTTATTTCTAAATTCGTTCCAACACAAAGATTCACGATTCCTTTCCATTTTGAAGACGTGATTTCTGATTCTCTATGATTCCACTTCTACCCCCGTAAGAGAAATTCCTTTTCTTTCTGCATAAAACTAATGTGTGCCATTTATTTCGTATCATGCTGTTTGCTTGGCGTCCAAGAAATGTTTCACAATGTGCTACTTTCTAGTTCTATATTTTCTAAACATTTATAGACCACTTTCAAAACTAGCAACAAGAAACAAAAACAATCTGGGGATGTAAGCGGAATTATATAACTTGGCCGGTTCATGATTCCAGATTAATGAAAAATAACATAAAACTCGTTATTTCTAAATTCGTTCCAACACAAAAATTCACGATTCCTTTCCATTTGAAAGAAGTCATTCCTGATTCTCTAGTGATTCCTTCTACCCCCCGAAAGAGAAATCCCACTCTTTTTCTGCATAAAATTTGTGCCATTCATTTTATATAATGGTTTTTGCTTCGCGTCCAACGGAAAGCTTTTTCAATGTTCTATATTTTCTATTTGTCTGACGTTCTTGTTTGATACAAACTTCAATCTAATCTCCTGTCTAAAATACTTCATGGCTCAAAAAATTACCTTACTCTGATGACAAACTTCTCAAATTTCGGAACGAGTTTTCAGCAATCAGTTTAGATGAACTTTGAAAGCGACACTTCTCTAAAACTTATACAAGGCTAGTTATGATCTATATATTATTGCTATTTTTATTCCATGCTCTCCCGTTGCGCACTGCGGCTTTTTTCTAAACGTTTTTACGTCAGCAACTTCTTCAAAATCTACCCATGGAGAGATTTACTAGTTTWTCGGTTTTTTCGGTTTTTTAGTGCTATCCTCTAGAGCACTCCCGTCCATTTACTAATTATTTAGTAATACCTTGAATGTTGCCCTTTCTGAACAATTGAATCGGAAATCAAGCCAAACTTCAATCGATCTCTTATTCCCGTGGTCCCCCGTAAAGAACTCCGGCACATTTACTGTGTTTTCAGTTGTCCCACGAATAGAACATTTTGATTCTCAAAGCCTGCGCATATTGACTTCTCATTAAGCATTTCCTCTGAAATTGAACCAGGTTTAGTTATTAGGGTTACTTATGTTTTCGTACCGGTATTCTGTGCTCCTATTTATAGCAGCACTCACTTTTAGCGATATTTTTTCCTAAGCCTATTAACCATTTAGTTTTGAAGTCCTGGACCGGCATATTAAATCTTCAGAGCGCCTCCTGAGCTTGATTTACCCACAAAATTGAACTCCTCTGAATTTGTTTTCTTCTTTTTTATTCTTGCTCTCCATTTGCTTACTTCCACACATTTACTGTTTTTTTAATCCTCTGGAATTTAACCAGGTTACTATTTTTCGTGGTCACTCACTAAGCAAATGTGGGATGGGCTAATTTTCCCCAAACGCGTTCGGCTAAATGTACTTGCCACTTGTCTTCTAGTGGAAGAAGCTTGTGGCCTTAAGTGGTTTGCTGTTTTGATTATGGTTGGCGAGATTTAATAGGTACTTATTGAGGTAGAGAAGAGCGGATTCAAAAGAAAAAAGCACTAAACGGCCTCAAATCGCGCTGAAGCTTCGCCAGTAGACTGAACAAGGTACAAGCAAAGACTGCAGCATGTTTTGAAGCAAATTGTCGAGTGAAACATTTTATTGTAACTCCTTTATAAACGATATGAAGGAACCTTGTTTGGACTGCCTGTGTTCTGTTCAGTTAAAAAAGAGTTATATGTACAAGCTGGGAAAAAACCAGCTTAGCTAGGGGGATTAAAATACAAAATTTTCTTGACCTTCAAGAAGTGAGCCTTGTAACTCACAAAGAATGTGAACGATTTTACCAACAACCGCTGACTCTTTCTTCGCCCTGGACCTTGGAGTCTTGAATTCTCTACTTTCACATCCCCATGATACTTTGCGTCTTTGGGGGTAACCATGCAGAGGGTAAAAACCCACTTATTGTGCTGAAGGCTGATCAGACAATGTTGATTGGTTACCACCCAAAGACGCAAGACATTATTGGGATGTGAAAGTAGAGAATTGGTACATTCTTTTTCGTTACCAGCTCTCCTCGCATTTGCTGACGCTTTGCTTCAGGCATTTCCCACTCGAGGCTCAACATGATTGCCGGTTTGACGAAATGAAAATTTCATAGAGAATTTCATTATCTTTCTTCCAAACAAAATATTTTACATCTACGAGGGCAAATGTTTTTATAACGCTGAGATTCTGGTTTATTATTTCCTCAAAAAACTTAATTTTTAATTGATAATAGAGTAAAAGTTGCTGCTTATCGATACGAGTTGTTGGTCTGAACTAGTTAGTACGGGTGGCTTGCACTTGGTTCCGGCATTCCAAGCTTGACCCGCTATCCATCGAGAGTATACAGTCCTTTGACAAGACGTTGTCGTTTGATCGGCTTCATCCCTACGCACCTAGACCGAAAAGGATCATGGGGATAATTAATTCACATTTACTAGCTGCCGCATATGTTATCTAACACGTCTTGAGCTCGCTTTTTTCGATCCCATTTAATTTGCTGAAACCATGCCTCGAGCATACGGCGGATATTTAAACTGGCGAGCAGTTTGAATGACGCAAGTTCTGGGTAATTTACCCATTATCCTTTTCGGTCTAGGCGCGTAGGGATGATCCGATCAACGACAACGTTTAGTCAAAGGACTATAGTTGCTCGTTTGTTATCTCAACCAAGGATGTCCTCTAGGCTTTGCAAAATTAAATTCTAAGTGAACCCTAAAATTTTGATCTTCGAGGACTTAGTCCATTGAGTTGCGAAATCCGCTATCCTATGAGAGTAGAGTTGTTTGTTTGTTCTCTCCTGCGCTTTAAGGATTTTTGTCGATCTCTCCGGCGATTGTCATTCCGGCCTCGAAAAATTAACTTTTGAACTCAAAACATCGACTTTCCAGGACTTTTAGATGATTCCGTTCAAGTGAGTAAATTGAAATCGCCATGTATTTTTAGAAACCGGAACACATTCCGACCACGTGACTAATAAAAAAATATATATCTAATATATATAGCCAGTTTGATTAATTTCGTAGGTGTATGTTGAAAATACATCCGCTTTGCTGATAAAATTTCATATATGTCAATATATTCAAATCAGTTCAAGCCAGATAAGTGACAGAAAGAGCTGTACTCGTTTCTGCAGCATATAAAGAATTTCGTTGTGAAAGGAAGTTCTGAATGGATGTAATACTTCCAGTTGTCTTTGAAAAGATTCTTTGAAAACATTCTTTGAAAACATTCTTTGAATGTGATGTTTATTTGAAGTACAAAATGGACATAAAAATTTGGTTATTTTTTAATGTATTATTCTTTTTCATAACGTGTAATTGTTCCGAGACACTCAATTCTACTCAGAATGTCAACGCATCGAACATTGCACAAGGAAAAGGTAAGAAAAGTAATAATAACACGCTTAAGTTTATGAGCTCCATTCCTAGTTTTTTCAAGGTTAACTTTATTTCATAAGTAAAAATATTCAAACATTATCTTAAAAATAAGTTCATTTAGTTGATTTTCGAGCAAAATGCAGTTTCAGGGGAATATGAATTTTTTCTAAAAGAATTTTATTAAAACTTCGCTAAATTAGGCTATAACTGAAGTAGTGAAAAGAAAATGAATAATTAACTTGGCCGCTTGGAGAGACAACTAAGTTACTTATTTTACTTTGTAGGGAATAGAAAGCAGAAAAAAATAAATTAAGGTCTATGAAGTCGCATTCATGAGCCTCCAATAATCTAACACTCGGCTATTTATCGAAATGAACGTATTGAAATCACGTAGCCGCATTACGTGTTTCTCTCCTAAAAATGCAAGATGGAGTGAATTTTGCAAAGATAACCATAATAGCGGTCCTTAAGATGAGCTCAGTTTTCTCTAAAGCTATTTGCGTAACGGTCTTTTTGGCTGAAGTTTGAGACTATCTTTGAGATCAACCAGATGTTTGTTAGAACTCAAAATTAAAAGTACGACTAGGTCTCAATAGTTTGGCATTTTATGAAATTATTGTATTTTATTTATTATACTCGATTTGCAAATCTTCGAGATTTTTTTGTCCATCTCAACACTGTTCTCAAAAGAGAAGCTAAAACTGGGACTTTTGCAAGTGCAGTTTGTAAGTATTATTTTTTCTTTTCATTCGGYTTATCCGTTTGTGTCTTATGATGATGACATATTAAGGAAAATTGATCAAATGACGGAAGAAGATAGAAATTATGTACAATGACGTCAAGGCAATAGGAAACATTGAAGAAAAAATGAATCTAAGTAAATTAAAGAAGGAAGTGGAACAAGGAAAATGCCATGTTGTCAAAGTACAAGCTTATTACAAAACCCGCTTTTGCGGTCTTTTCTTTTTTCCTTTCCTTTCCTTTCCTTTCCTTTCCTTTCCTTTTCTTTCCTTTTCTTTTCCTAGTTTCCTCTCCATTCTTTTTCTTTCTTTCTTCTTCTTTCTTTTCTTGTTAAACCCTTTCAATCCCATTATCATCTTTTCTCTTCCCTTCTCAATATTTCACAGCTAAACAACTTTAATTTTTTTAGCTGCTTAACTAGTTAATACTTAAGAAAACAAAAAACGTAATTAAGCTTTGTTGCCATCCTTGGTTTTACTTAAACAAACGAACAAATGGTTTTTTTTGTTTCCAATGTTTGCACTTAGTAAAGTAATCAGTTATGTAAARATTTCAAAAAGAATGTCACCAAAAATAAACAAACTAAATCACGATAAAGTCTTTATTTTAAAGTAATAAATGGCATTCCTTGAATAAAACACATTCAACAATTTTAGAAAATTAGAACTAAAGCTTGAAAATTTGATTTCAAAACTAGGGCCTTTTCTGTCGTTAGTAACTCGAATAAGTGGCACACCTCAGCTGTGAAATTCAACTTAAAATTGACTGTACGTCGTACAAACGAAATTCTTAATCTTTAAGTACATTGGGGAAACATTATATTACATAATTTTTTTGACATCTTTTTACAAACATAAAATTTAATTAAACTCTATATTACCCAGCCGGCCCAAAAATACCATCAAATTTAAATAAGTATTAGTACAAAAAAAAAAAAAAAAAAAAAAAAAAANAAAAAAAAAAAAAAAAAAAAAAAAAAAAAGAAACGGTAAATTTGACCGATTCAAAAATGCTGATGTTTTTTCCCAACGTAATTTGTTAATTACTAGCTAGCGCTCCAATTGAACATTCTTGATTAATTTGTGATTGTAACATTATTTGTAACTCTAAAAGTGTACGAAGTCTATCTAAAACCCCGTCCACACTCATCTGGAGTTTTTTTGAAAACGGAATGTTTTCTTTTTGCGGATTCTCCCTCCGTTCACACGTGTCCGAATAAACGCCACTCGAAGACACGAAAACGATTTGAAAAAACGCTACGTAGAGACGAGATTTTTTTGGAAACGAGGAATGAAATTATACAGTAACGTGTTGACGGGGCTTCAACCCAAGGCAGCCAAAACGCGTCTTCAATTTACAGTAAATAAAACGCATTACCAGAATAAAGTTGGATTTCTGAAGTTCCCATGATTTATCAACTACATTTAAACTCACTGACAGACACAAACCAATTTTGATCTCCTTGCGCGCAGCTTAAACTAGCTGCCATTCATACAAATACCCTCCTTTTGTCTATATTTCAGCTGTCGGATCTAAAATATTTATGAATCAAGTGCCGTCTGACTGTTACAATAAGAACCTTATTATGCAACTTGGTCAATTTCTAGGTTCATTGACGATTTCAAGCCTTAGGCCACTTTAATTTCTAGCGACAAAAATTTCATTATTTTGGATTTCGCTTTGTTTCTTTATTTTTCGTTGTTTCTGCTTTGGTTTTAATTTTATTTATCGCTTTATCTCTTATTAGTTTTTGCTTTAGTTGTGATTTGTCTTTGGACTTGTCATTGGAAGGATTTAGTTTGAATTGCTGAATGTCGCACTTCTATTGAAAGAACTATCAAAAGATCAAAGTATTACAAAGTTTAGCTATTTTTTTCTCTCTCTCTCTCTCTCTCTCTCCTCTCCTCTCCTCTCCTCTCCTCGTTTCCTTTCTCTTTTTTAAGCCATTATCGGATACATATCATTACCTTGCATTTTATCATACTGCTGAATCAAACTTCCTGAAAATCTGTGTACTTAGAGACATTTCATAAAGAAGTAATTACTGTCCTACAATAAGATARAGGGAAAATTTATCATCCTTAAACGATGCTGCATGATTTTTTTCGATCTGTAAGAATGATGGCGCGAAGAAATGAAAAAGAATTTAAGAAGAGAATCAAAAATATTAATAAAAAAAGTAATGGCAATAATCACGTAGACATATAATACAAATATATCTTAGATATCATATCTTACTATCAACATAATAACAGAAGTAACATCGAATATATACACAGAACGTTCTATTCAGTTTGTCCTGAAAAGACCTATCTTCCATCTCTGTCATTTGACTTTGACAACTCTTTTCAAGAAAGGAAAAGAAAGTTCGCAAGAGAAGAGGTTGAATCTTGCTGATTATTCTGCTAATGGCTTTAGCTGACGTAAAGTTCCGTCTCTTGTTAGACGATCATTTGAGTCGTTTAAAGTTTGCTTTCATTATTGAGTGATATGTCTGCCCTAATCCTGCTATATATTAAAAGCGTCTAGTGTACTTGTATACTCTTGACTTTTTGATACCGGGTTTTCTTTCGACTTCAGTTAATTCAAAGAATTAGTATTTTCATTCTGTCCACTCTTTCATTTTGTTTTCTTTGTATAAAAATCTATCTTTGGTAGTGCATTTAAAATGTAAACTGCAGTGAAATTTCAGAATGCTATGAAATTTCGGTTCAGCCAGTGAGAAAATTCTGCAAAATCTTATCTTCGTCGTATCAATAATAACAGTCAAAGGTTCAGAATCATTTGCGCCATATMTATTTTGGCTTGATATCAGATAATTGCCAAAAATGCTAAGTTAGAAGGAAATTAACAAAAAGTTATTATTAAAAACGAGTATTGAATAAATTTATAAATCTACAGCACGAAAGTGCAACATTGCGCTCAATATGTTCCTGTAGTAGGATCGTTTTCTACTCCAGAAACACTGCGTGCAACACTTGCGTCGTGTGACAAGGTTTACAACATCGATTGCCTGCAATATTGCGCACAATATTACAGGCAGTGTTGCTGAAGTAGGATCGTATTCTACTTCAGTAACATTGCGTCCAATACTTGCATCGTGTGCCAAGGCTAGCTCGCAACACCTTTTCCTTGTTGCACCGTGTGTCCTTAGCTTAATAGTTATATCATCTACGATCTTATATTTGGAATAGCCTCTCTGAGTATTCACCCCTCATTTGATTCTCTTTTTCCCCGATATAAATTAGGATTCTTATAAAGCTAAGGTTTGGCTATAAATTCATTTGCTCTATATGAATTTCATATGCGCAATATTATTATATTATTAGAGAGGGGGGAATTAAAACGAAAGGACAACAGGAAGTAGAGAATTTTTTATTGCTAAGCTTCAGCTTGGTGTCATGGAACATCGCTGAAGCAGTTGAAGTATGTTATCTTAAGCGATTTATCTTTTTGTTCGACTTATGTCATATTATCTGTTAATGACTTTAAAAGTGTATGAAGCTTCTTTTTTTAGTGCAAACTTTTCTGTCAAACATCTTTAAGATTATGATTTCCGCTAAGATGAAAATGCCAAACTGATGCGGTTAAAGGATGTGTTACTATTATATATTCATTCATTCACCCATCCATCCATTCACCCATCCAATCCTATGCATCCATACATCCATCCACCCATCCATCTATCCATCCATCCATCCATCCATCCACCCATTCATTTTAGCTCGCTAGTTCAATCTTTATTGCGTGGAAATGAGCAAATCCTAGTAGTCATGGTTTTTTTTCACGACCCCTCGAAATAGATGCTCAAAAGTAGATAGTCCAACTTAGTGAGGTTTGACAGTAAGGAGCAATTAGACGTACCGTAAGTGATACCTATTGTACAAGAGTTATAGGATATACAAGTTTTGAGTGAATTTTGAAAGATTACAACTTTTTCCGTTGCTACGCGCTGATTGAGGCAACAATAAGGAAAGGTAATCGGTCGACAGACTATACTTATACTATACAGACGACTTCCGAGTAAAGATTTTTCTTACTTTTTGGGATTATAGTCCTAAGTTCAAATTAATTCAGGAGGAGGTTGAATCATTGAGAAATRTATTTTCGCTTTATTTTAGCGGTTTTGTTATAGCAGATGGACCCCGAAATACGTCACAACTTAACAGCTCTATGAAGTAAATCGCTAGAGTAGGTTCCCTTATACCTATTCACGGTCCCCGTGAACAATTTCGATTGACGGTAGTCTATTGCCCCATTTCCCTGTCGTGACTGCAATTTCGATCAGTACGTAGGATCAATGGACACTTTTTTCGTCGATTTYGTTATAATGGTGTGGCATACAAAATCCTGTTTTTTGGTTCTCCATTATTTCCAGTTTCTCTGGGGTTTTTTTCCTCTGAAAATCTTCCAACATTTCAGTTTAGTTTTTCTTTACCTTTTCTCTTTAACTCCGTCTCTATTATATTTCAAAAAAAAATTATCACTTTTATTTCTAGATATTATATAGGTTTTATCTGTCGTAATGTAAGTGTAAACTAAAATCAATGACAAAATCTGTTAATATTTCCTCCCAGATACTGATTACAAGAAGGACAAACGTGCGTGGGACATTGGCTTGACAATAGGATTCTCAACCGCAGCAATCATATCAATAGTCGGTAATAGCATAGTCATCCATGTGGTACGAACCACCCGCTCCATGCAAACTTCAGTCAACCTCTACATTGCCAACATGGCGCTCTCCGACATCATTTCTACCGTTTTCTGTATGCCACTATCTCTGCAAAGTCTCTATAGCTTTGATTCCTGGCTTCAAGGCACAGTCGGTTTGATTCTTTGTAAACTCGTTTATATCATGTTTTACACATCGTTCGCTTGTTCGACATTTAATCTTGTAGCAGTGGCTTTTGATCGCTATCTTGCAGTGATCAAGCCTTTTTATCGATATCCCGCTATAGTTGTCAAGTGTATCCTACCCTTTATCTGGATCACAAGCATCGTAATTTCACTACCAATCGCCTCGTCCTACTCAAATAAATATAAGCCATTAAGGGATGAAAAATACACAATATGTCTTGATTTGGAGCGTGACAATGGTTATGTAGTTGGCGTGACTATCATGACGTTACTTTGCTACGTGCTACCATTGGCTATAGCATCGACACTCTACGCAATGACTGGACGGAAGCTTTGCAAACGTTCTAAAATGTCTATCGCGTCACGCAGCGATAGAACCAAAGAGCAGGCTCGTAGGACTGCTATGAAAGCAACCAAGTTGATGGTGACTGTGATTGCGATCTTTTCCTTATGTTGGGCGCCATTTTTTATTTATCACATGGCGAAGGCCTGGTACGAGGGTAATCTGAATGAAGAACTGGAATGGGTTTACCGACCATTATGTTTTCTATTTGCATCAATTAATGGAGTAATAAACCCTTTGCTATATGGTTCATTCAGTGGGAATTTCCGTTATGGGATCAAGTCGATTCTTTTGTGCGATAGCAACAAAGTGCGTAGGATCAACACTTTACCTCAAGCTCGACAAAACCACATGAAAATGGCTCATAAACCAACTTATTCTTGAAAATACCACGTTATTTCTTAATTGCGCTTTGTGTTCCTTTTCTACTCAGTTTTTCCTGCTTGACGCCACATCCTTTTTTGTTAAAAATCTCTTGAGTTTGWGTCCTTGATGCTGTGCAGTTTGTGTGCTCTAAGTAGAGTGATGGTGTAAATGTATATAAAACTAAAAATAAAATATGTTATAGTGTATGGTATATACAATAATAAAACAACTCCGGCCATTAGTGCCGTTAGTTAGACATTTTGGGGAAGACAGTAAGAAAATAGAATATCTCGAGATAACTTTGGTTATTAGCTTCTTCTTATCGATGGGGACACTTTGCACCAATAATAGAAAGCCTGATTATCAAGGCTTCGAGGAGGGGGACCTGTGGACATACAATCCATGTAGTACTGTTTTGGAAATCTTAATAATTATTTTTTTCAAGAAACATGCATTTCAAGGCTTTAAATTTAGCGATGCTCTTGTAATTCATACCTCAAATAAGCTCCCAACATCTATTTCGTGATTAGTCGTTGAAGTCACCAACAAAGACAATTTTTGCATATTTCATCATATTACTGTTCAATACAATTTTAATGCTGATTTCAGGGTACGATCGCGTCTTTTGTGTCTAGCGTGTACCTATAGGATGTAAAGTTTTCCCATTTCACAGCAAATGTCATTATTAGAAATCATTTCTTTGTTTAACTTGAACTGCTGTGCATAAGAAAAGCTAAGATACATAAACATGGATACAACTGAAACAAAGAATCTTATTCTCGAGAGAATTACATGTGGTCTGAAATGGTAATGATAAAAGGGTCTGAAATGGGAAAACATTTCCCCCAAGGCAAAGAGGTCTATTGAGATGGACAATGAAAACTTCCAAATAAGAGTTTCACGCCATGTAAAATTTAAAAAAAACAACAACCCCTCTGTCCATCCAGTTGATACCAGCTGGAGTAAAAAGGGACTGATAAAAGGGTCTGAAATGGGAAAACATTTCCCCCAAGGTAAAGAGGTCTATTGAGATGGACAATGAAAACTTCCAAATAAGAGTTTCATGACATGTAAAAAGTAAAAAAAACAACAACCCCACTGTAAATCCAGTTGATACCAGCTGGAGTTTTTGAGTTCTAGAACAAGGGTCTGAAATGGGAAAACATTTCCCCCAAGGTAAAGAGGTCTTTTGAGATGGACAATGAAAACTTCCAAATAAGAGTTTCACGCCATGTAAANGGGACTGATAAAAGGGTCTGAAATGGGAAAACATTTCCCCCAAGGTAAAGAGGTCTATTGAGATGGACAATGAAAACTTCCAAATAAGAGTTTCACGCCATGTAAAAAAAAAAAAAAAAAAAACTCACTGTACATCCAGTTGATACCAGCTGGAGTAAAAAGGGACTGATAAAAGGGTCTGAAATGGGAAAACATTTCCCCCAAGGTAAAGAGGTCTTTTGAGATGGACAATGAAAACTTCCAAATAAGAGTTTCACGCCATGTAAAAAGTTAAAAAAACAACAACCCCACTGTAAATCCAGTTGATACCAGCTGGAGTTTTTGAGTTCTAGAACCTTCACGCTTCTATTCAAAATTTGTTATGGTTTGTACATGAAGCATTTAGGTGGCATTAAAAAGCAATTATCTGCTTAAATCTAAACTCTTAAAAGCTCTTCACATGAAATGGGATTTTAGTATAGAAAGGTAGCTACTTTAAGGAAGATTTGTAGACGATTCTTTTTGTAATGGTAGATCGAGCCCAACCAGGTAGTTTACAGTCAGGAAATGGTCTGCTATTTCATTGTTTACAGTTTTCATAAATGGTGGAAAATGCACGTGAAAACTTACGGATAAATATGAGCACCCACCACCACAAAACGCTGTAGCTGGCTTTTCCCATGAGAATCTCTATCCGTTCCCAATGTAAGTTTAGAAATAATTTCTCTGACGAAATTAGTTTATAAGCTAGGAAGAAAGTATATAGAATAATTTTACATTTGTCACTAGCTGAAAGGGAAACTCTGGAAAAAAAACTCATTCGAATATATGGAAGAAGAAGTTTCAAAAATGAACGACAGTTGCCTATACACCACAATGTCCATAAGGCTGCCTGTCTATCGATCAACGATAGCTTCTTTATATATAATAACAGGCATTGCTAGCATGGTTTTTAATGCTCTGGTAATTGTCTCAATCTGGACAACACCTTCATTGCATAAGCCATCGTATGTCCTTATCGCCAATCTTGCGATCACTGATTTCATAGTTGGAGCTGTTGCAGATCCATCGATGTTCGTTGTAAATTTGGCAGCACTTGAAGATTGGGAGAGCGTTTTCTGTTTCTCTTCATTTGTTGGTCGAGGAGGTGGGTATTGGATGGGAGCCATGTCTCTGTATACGCTGACTGCCATAAGCGTTGACCGTCTACTAGCTATCAAACTCAAGAGTCGCTATAAGACTATCGTAACTTTGAAGAAAGTCGTTATCAACTTGATCTTTTGTTGGATCGGAACTTGTTGTCTTCTTACATTGTTCAAGTTAAGCATTACCATGGTAACTATAATCCTATCTACGTACTTGTTCCTACTGCTTGGGACTCTGACAACTTGCTATGCAATGGCGTACTACAGCTTAAAAAGAATGATGTCACCAGTATCACCAAACACGACCAGAGATACACTGCCTGGTAACGCGAGTTTTCATGCCCAGAAATACAGAAGAACCCTGAACACGACGTTGCTAGTCTTCTTCACCGTCATCCTCTTCTATTTTCCGTATCTGTGCTCCCTAGTGACAACAGCGATTATATACAAGGTCGTGCCAAACGCTTCGCAAAGTGGGTTCAGGGACTTTTTGTACAGATTTATCACTTCGAGCGAGCTGGTGGTTTTTGTTAACTCTACTATGAACCCATTTTTGTATTTATGGAGAATGAAGGATCTATCTAGAGCTGCAAAGGAAACTCTAAAGAGGATTTTTGGGTGCAAAAGAACTGTAGGTGAAAAAACCTTGGCTAATCGAAGTGTCCAGCAAAGTTAAGTTAACTGATACAGGCTACAAGTTGTTGCTGACGTTAAGACAGTTATTCTTCAATTTTATTTAACGATGAAACAAACTCTGGGCTGTTTAAAGTCAGGACACGGCTAACTTAGATAGAATCCTGAAACCGAACTGACCTCTTGGATTATAATAGTCAGGGCATGGCTTACTCACAGATTGAACTCTGAAACAACCTCTGGGCTGATCTAAGTCGGCGCATGGCTTACTCACAGATCGAACCCTGAAACAACCTCTGGGCTGATCAAAGTCAGGGGATGGCTTACTCACAGATCGAACCCTGAAACCATCTCTGGGCTGGTCTAAGTCAGGACACGCGGCCTAACTCCTATATCAAATTGAAGTTTACTTGTTAAGTTTGCGGAAGTAGGTCTTCAGAGTCCAGTCAGGCTTACTCACAGATCGAGCTCTGAAACAACCTCATGGCTGATCAGAGTCAAGACACCTCCACCTCACCGATTTAACTCTGAAACAACCTATGGCTGATCAAAGTCAGGGCACGGCTAACTTTTGAATTTAACTCTGAAACAACCAATGGCTGATCAAAGTCAGGGCACGGCTAACTTTTAAATTTAACTCTGAAACAACCTATGGCTGATCAAAGTCAGGTCACAGCTAACTTTGATATCGAATTGAAATTTACTTGATGAGTTGGCGAAATTAGGTCTTTAATTTATGTTTTTCCGGCATACATCAAATCAGTTATTTACATAAGTGGTATGAAGAAAGAGTTTTCATGTTTTTTCTTAACATTACAAACCCTTTAGAATAAGACTGAAGTATCCAATTGCTACCGCGACACAGGATAAAGTACCATTAAAAAAACAGAGTTGTTTTTTTTCCCGCTCGCCTGCTGAGTTCCGTAACTCGATCTAATCGAATGATCATCTTTTCATGAAGCGAACGAAAGAATGAAAAGCGGCATATATATTGTGTCTCAATAGCAAAGTAGACGTGTAGGCGGACGTCAATCAGGGCGTTTCCATGACATTATAACTACGGCGGTCATCTTAATGAATTATATTGTTTTATTCAAGACATTATGGGATGTGGAGGCGGCAACAATTGGAAAATTTATAGACTGTACACCTGTCAGTGTTTTTTATTTTTTATTTTTTATTTTGTTTTGTTTTGTTTTTTTTAATTTGACTTTATGTTTTTCAATGAGAAGCACATCTTAAAAGCAATTGGATTTGCTAGTAGTTGAAACAATATGCATATAACAAAGGTAACCCCGCTACTCAGTGCCAGCTTTATAAATTTTCTAAGTTTGGCCCCTCGGCATCTCATAATTCAAGATAAACGTCGAATCGGTGAAAAAGTCTAATGGAAACACTTTGATTGACGTCCACCAAAACCCAATTTTTTCGTGACGGCAAAATGTATTATTCCGTTCCCCTCGTTATTAGAACAACTGTAAGCTTCCGATAGTCCCGCAACGGTAGATCATAGCATACACATATTCATAATATAGTCTTTTCTTATCTAGTTCTGTAGCTCAGGTGATTAATTCATCGAGAGCAAATGAATGAACATTTTGATTCCCATGGGTGAAATTTACTGCAGAGCAATTAAACACACTTTCTACAAGCTGTTTTGAGAGATCGTAATAAAACTGCATTTCATTCAGTTCTTTAAAAGTAGCTAAAAAGAATCACCAATTTAAAATAAAAACCACAGTTTTGCCCTTCAGTACAGACACCTGACCGTTAACTGCATGCAATTGGACTATCTTGTCTGGGTGACTTAGTTCTACTTGTTCTCAGAGTGGCAGGGCATGTTTTCGCACATAGGGGTATTTTAAGACAACTAGCTGGAGAGGAATCATTTATTAGATATACATTAACATTTGCTATACATTAGATTAGTGTTTTTGTGTGTGTGTGTGTTTTTGTTGTTGTTTTTTGTTTGTTTTGTTTTGTTTGTTTGTTTATTTATTTATTTATTTGTTTGTTTGTTTGTTTGTTTATTTATTTTTGGTAATCAATGCCTGGTAAGCGTCGCTATTTGGCATTCTTTGATACTGATTTCTAAGTAAAAATTCACCTCGTACGTATCTCACCATTATTTTGCTGTTGCGAGAAACCGCGGCTTATATTTTTCCCGTTTCTGACAAAAGAGTAATCGATTCTCTTACTCAGGCATTATAGATAAAATCAATTAGTTAGGGACGAAATGTTTGCCGACAGCTAGATGACAAGCAGGGGCTTGAAAACATGAAAACTGATTACAATTTTCATTGTACAAAATCTAAAATTAAAATCTACATGACGCTTTTGAAGAATTTTTCATCTGATTGAACAAGAGCATTGACAGCAAGTTTGAAATTGGTAAATATCGTGTTGGTGGTGTATTTTCTTTGTGTTGTTTTCGGAAGCACGGGTCGTGAGTGTGCTGCATGAAAACGGATCGCCGCCACTCGCTCACTGGCAGCTCATCGCTGTGATTCAATTTGTTATAGGGAAGTAGTGTTGTTTGTTGTTTCTATTCTGTGATTCTCCTGTTTTTCTCTCTCCGAAAAAAAAATCAACTTATAATCAGTGCTAGTCCGTTTAGCTTCAAAAGCTTAAACAAGGCTAAAAGAATAATTGTAAATGTTAATCATTTTTAGGAGTAAATGTCGTTATGAATCCTGACTGGAATTTTGGAATATTGAAATATAAACATTGATTGTTTTTTCATGTCTTAGGCAAATTTTACTCCGAATCGAAATATGGGGCGAACCTATTGGACCTGGTTGTACGAAGGGTGGATAGCGCTATCCACCCTTAGACAGTGATTCAATCAATAAATTTAYCCACTGGATAAGATTTATGATCCGTCGCCGGGATAGCGCTATCAATCGTTCGTACCAACCGGCCCTGGACTGCTAGCCTCCCTTACATGTGAAAACGCTTTTGTTTTTCACCTGAACACGAAGCTAGAACATTAATTATTCAAAGTGGTCGCCAAATATCCCGATTCAGTATATTCGTTCCGAGGGTGCAATTTAAGCTGTTTAGGGCACACTTAATTTGGAACCTAGCTCTGTTGTGTTTTCTCAATCATAGTTTTTATACCTTTTCTAATCATTTGTTGTCATCTATATATTTCCGATGGTTTTGCTTGGTATGTCATCTTATTTGCCACGATATGACGTCACCAGTTGATCATAATGTTATGTACTGACGAGGCGTAGCCGAGATTAAAGATTAAGTGGAAAAAAACGGCGACTAAAATCAAAAGCTTTACTAATAAAAATTTCAACTTGGAAGTCGCAAGCTGTCACCTTGTTAATCTTGATTAGTCCCCGAGAAAAAAAATTGGCTTCATTTTTCAAGGACAAAATGTTGGCGGCAGGTGTTTAGCATTAAAAAAACTGAATCTTAGTTCTGCAACTGAAAAATTCCTCATTTAGTGCACTGGATATTTAGTTGTTCTTTTACTCTCTTTTCTCAATTACCTGGCGTCGAAGTATTTTTCTGAGTACTGCAATCACTGCTTGGCGCAGGTCTTTCATACGCCATAGGTACATCAGAGGATTAACAGTAGAGTTCAAGAACGCAATCAGTTCACACGAAGCTATGATCTGGTAAAACAGATTAGTCATATTTTGGTCGAACGACTCTTTATGTAAAGTTAGATGAAAAGCAGCTGTAATAGCAGAAGTTACGTACGGAAGATAGAACAAAATTAGAACTAGATATATTAGAATCATTGTGTTCAGTGATTTTCGATACTTGGCCACATTGATGTCTRTGTTTGTAGCCARCTTGYTTTCATTGCTTGGCGATACRGTGTGTGTTGCCTTTTTCAARTAGTAATAAGCCAGGGAATRGCATATGGTTATAGTAGATAGCATCAGGAATATTGCAGTTCCGATAAAAATCAGATATGCAAAGAGGTTTTTGTCGATTTCAAAGTTAAAAAGGAAAATCAAAACTACTACAATAGATTTGATCCAAAATTCCACTACGATGATGATGATCCGTTTCATAGTCACAATGCTGCGATATCGTGTTTTCTTCTTAATGGCAAGAAGGCGGTCGATGCTTATGATCGCTAAAGTGTATAAAGATACCGAGGTTAACCAGTAGCCCATGGCACGACCGCCTACCCACGAATAGCAAAACAGTGCGCTATTCCAATGCTTTAAAGCTGCAATGTTTGTCAAGACTATTAAATACTGTCCAAACGATCCATTCAGAAGATCCGACAAGGCAAGACTCGCAAGCAGGACGTAGGAAGGCTTGTGTAACAGAGGTGTCTTCCAGATTGAGTACAGTACGAGAGAATTGAGGATGATTGCAGGTATTCCTGTAATCGCGTATAACGAAAGTACCACGACACGATATTCGGGCAATTCAAAACTAAGGTTACCAAAAAAGCAGGAATAATTCATTCTTGAATGCCACGTCTTGAATGACTAGTTTATTCTTCAATAAGGACTTTCCTATTCAACGTAATATTTGTTTTGAATTGATCCTTTCCGGATTAGTATTGTATACAAATTTCCTTATCGTGGAAAGAAAGTAGCTCATGCACACAAACGCACCAAAGACCATCTGCTATCCGTATATATCGTATTTATGTCCGAGCAAGCTTCTAGTTCAATCTGTATATCTGTTTGTTTTTTTTTTGTCCTATTGTAAATTAAGGTGTGTAATAAAAAAGGTCGAGGTTTGTTTGCCATCTGTTTCTGTTAACTGACAAAACCTACGAATTCATTTATTCCTATTTGCAAACAAAGAAATATTTACGACTGTTTTTATTGTAAGTCTTTTTTTCGAAACTATACTTAGTTTCGCAAATTCAATCTCAATATTCCCAACTATTACGTTTTGGTTTCTTTATCGTTTACTTGTTTAAAATTTCATTTCTTTTTCTTGCCTAAAATCAAGACTAAACTGTCAATAACATAACTTGGCTGATGAAATCAGTGGTCCTACCTTGAAACAATCCATTGTTATGTGCTGTTATTTTGACAGCCGGCAAAGATGGTTAACTCAGTTTCGGTTTGCACATAGCAATTTCACCATATGAAAAACAAGATGACCAACTATCGCTCTGATTGGTCGAGTGYCATGCGGTATTAATTACTTAACAGAGCGGAAAGAGATGTTTTATTTGTTATTTATGTACAACTGCGGTGACTTAACAAATAGGTACAATAATACAATATATACAATAAGTTTATTTCATGAGGGAAATGCAATAACCTTCAAAAGATATATCAGAAATAGATGTACAATATAAATTATTAAATGATATATACAATAAATGCTACAATAGTGGTTCGAAACAAATATAACGGTTAATCAAATTATGAATAAATTGATTGGTTTGAAATATAATATAGCGAGAACAGTTATTTTTATTAATACTTATGTATAGGCTTTCAGCGTGATATACATTTGCTTCAGTTTATAGTAGAATAGCGACAGTTGGAGCACATGAGATCTTCCAAATGCTCAACCGAGGACATTCGCGAACGAAATAGATTACGTAATTTCTACTGAATGAGGGGAAAGAGTGAAAACCAGAGATTTAGCAGTCAACGGAGACGAAGGAATAGAGAGCTGTTTGAGATGAGAACTAAGATCAATTTAAAGTTTGTTAGCATCATTTGTCAATGTTCACTTCCCAGAATTGCTGCAAGGCCTATGGTACCCTTAAGTAGTAACAGTTTGCCCCAGTACGACGGCCTAAAGTTCCACGTGTTTCAGAAAGAAACTGGAATCTTCTTTTGAGGCAACTTGGTGCACAGGGATTTGGAAGTACATTAAAAAGAATGGGTTCAATGGTTAGACCTTCAAGTCTTCTCGGACAAGGGCTTAAAACCGTAGGTCCCGTCTGTCTTCACTATATAACCCTATATGAGGCGGACGGAAAAGATCCACTGAAGACGCTGGTGACGGCCATCTTCAGTGCCCGTGCTAACCGTCGGCCTCATCAATTGGGTCGCAAGGCCTGTAGGGCATCGTGCCGTCCACCCAGTAGTGGGAGTGGTAAACGCATTAGATTAGATTAGATTAGAAAAGTCAGCGTCAAGGAGTGTACGAGCAGCCCGTGTTTGAAGACGAAGAAGTCGCAGTAGAAGCTGATAGGAGCAATTTCCCCAAGCAGCAGAGCAATATATGAAGTAGTTGTTTATGCAAGAATTATAAAATTAAAGCAGAATTAAAGTTTAGATAGGATATGATGCGACGTAAGAGAGAAAGCCTACTACTAATGATGGAGGAGATCATGTCAAAGTGATGTTTCCATGACATGCTACTGTCTTTCATGACAGCAAGCATATTGGCATAGTCTACTTACTCAATGCTTCTACTACTAATTTGAACATTCAGTGTTGAGCTAGTTAACGTGCGTTTCTGTAAAGTTGCGATGAGCAAAGATTCAGTTTTCGTAGTGTTTAGTAACTAACATCTTATTATTATCAGCTCAAGTGGATACAATTTTAGCGACTTCATTCAACTGAGTACTTATAGAAGAGAAAGAAGGGCCCCGGACAAGAATAATTGTGTCGTCCGCGAACATAGTTGAATTAATGTCAGTTGGTAACTCTAATAGCAAGTCAATAATATATACAATGAAGAACAGTGGTCCTAAGATGCTTCCTGTGGCACACCGACAATTAATTGAAGTGTATCAGACAAAGTGCCGTAAACTTGGTCCTTTAAGAGTGCCCAGAAAGATAGGAGTTGAATCAAGCAACAATCGAGGGAGAACAGCTGTAGGTACATAGTTTAATAGAGAGTAGTGTATCATGATCGACAAGGTCAAAAGCTTTTTTCAAGGCCACAAGTAGAAGTCCATTTAAGAGTTTTTTTATCCATGTTGTTTAAGATGTTATCAAAAAGATCAGCAATGGCAAGCTCTCAAAGAGCAATGAYGTCGGAATCCAAATTGAGAATATAGAAGCAGTTGCGAGAGAAAGTCATAAAATGTTGGGTGTACGTGGCACTCGAGAATTTTGGAGATAGCTGTTGTAGGCTGGATTTGACGAAATCCCCCAAAACAGGAGGGATACTATAAGATACTCTGGATGGTAGCCTGGAGTAAATATGATTTGTAATACGATCCCAGTTGGTTGAACTCCTACAGGCATGACTGAGCCGAACGGAGAAGAAGCGATTTTTGAATAAGTTAGCAATACCATTATAATCATGGTATCGTACTTAGTTTAAAAGTAGAAATTTGAACTACCTTTTAAACTATATTTTCGTCTCATTACGCATATTACGCATTTTCATGGGTGGCTTAAATAGCGATAAGAGTGCTCACCTCTCACCAAGGCGACCAGAGCTCGATTCTCGTACTCGATACGTGCGGTGCCGTGAGTCGGCTTGTTGGTTCTCTCCCCTGCTTCGAGGGTTCTACTCTGGGTTCTCCGGTTTTCCGAGGCTCACCTACGCAAAAAGTAACTCCTAAATTCCAGTTGGAATTTCAGTGGATCGGATGAAAAGCCACTCTATGGAAATCATGCCACTTTTAAATCCCATATATTTAATTATTCGTCTTGGATGGAAACTGTGTTCTCTTTTGTCAAACGTTTGCGTGGAAAGATTCCTTTGACTACCGCCACAACTGCTTTACGAATGTCTCTCATACGACAAAGATACATCAGAGGATTAACAGTAGAGTTCACAAATGCAAGCAGCTCACACGAAGTTATGAACTGGTAAATCGTAGTCTTGATTCCTTTACTGGGAGATGCTTTATTCGCAGCCAATACAACTGCAGAACCAATAGCAGAAGTCACATATGGAAAATAGAACAAAATTAGGACCACAAATATAAGTAACATTGTCTTCAGGGATTTTCGATACTTGGCCACATTGATGTCTATGTTTGTAGCCAACTTGCTTTCATTGCTTGGTGATACAGTGTGTTGCCTTTTTCAAGTAGTAATAAGCCAGGGAATAGCATATGGTTATAGTAGATAGCATCAGGAAGACAGCAGTTCCGATAAAGGACAGGTATGCAAAGAGGTTTTTATCGATTTCAAGTTTGAAAAGGAAAATCAAAACTACTACAATAGATTTGATCCAAAATTCCACTACGGTGATGATGATCCGTTTCATAGTCACAATGCTGCGATATCGTGTTTTCTTCTTAATGGCAAGAAGGCGGTCGATGCTGATGATCACTAAAGTGTATAAAGATACCGAGGTTAACCAGTAGCTCATGGCACGACCGCCTACCCACGAATAGCAAAACAGTGCGCTATTCCAATGCTTTAAAGCTGCAATGTTTGTCAAGACCATTAAATACTGTCCAAACGATCCATTCAGAAGATCTGACAAGGCAAGACTCGCAAGCAGGATGTAGGAAGGCTTGTGTAACAGAGGTGTCTTCCAGATTGAGTACAGTACGAGAGAATTGAGAATGATTGCAGGTATTCCTGTAATTACGTATAATAAGATCATCACTATTCGATAATCTGGTCGATTTAACGCGATGCTACCGAAAAAACAGGAGTAGTTCATCTCGATTTGGCCTGCCAAAAACCGTTCTTATCGTTCTTTTTTCCGAGGTCTTTATCTGTGAGAAATTAAAGCATTATTTTGGGTTTTGCACCTTTGTTGCCTTAATTAAAGCACGGCTTTTTAAAAGACATCTGTTTTTGCGCTTTTGTTGTCATAAAAACATTTGATGGATATATCCGTTGCTTCCGATTGTCGTATTGAAAAGGTAGCCAATCATCCGTTCTTAAGACCTATAATACTATCTTTTTGTACTATAATTCAATTGATACTAACACAAAAGAAAAGAACGGAAGCTTACTAAAATAAAAATGAAAATTGAAAAATAAATTAAACAAGTCAATGTTAGCTTGTCAAACCAGCTGAGCGATGAACGYGGCACGCAAAGCATGACCGGCCCTAAGCTCCCCTAAGCTTAAAAAAACGAAGCAAATATGGCGGTAAAGTCAAATTGTTTTTATTCTTCCTTTCCATATTTCTTCTTCTTGTAGCCACGTATATTATATTTTAGTCAAAAGAAAACAGAAAAATACGCAAAAGTTGGGTTACAGTAGCCTGGGAATAAGAGCCGCCGGAAAAACAGCTAAACGCGCTGTGATAGGCTAAGACAAAATTCATCGCTCAGCTGGAATAGTGCAAACTATACCACCTGCAATGTTATTCATGAACTTAAGTTTCATCAAATTATACTTCTCAGAGTACGCCAACCAAATTTTTTGGAAATTGAAAAACTTTTATTCTCATGTGGGATTCGAGGGTTTTTTTTTACAAGGCCAACTGATATCAATGATGCAATTTCACAGTGCATCAGTTGGACTTCATGATGTAACACAGTTAGATTATATTGTGGAAATTTCATTTATTCAAAATATTATTTGAAAACGAAAGTTGTTTGCTGCCATCTGCTTGTACATCAATATTGTTTTCTACTAATCATCACCATCATCATCATCATTATCCTCATTATCATCGTCATCAATTCCTTCCCTTCCAAGGGCGGATCCAGGGTTTTTTGAAGGGGGGGGGGGGTCTCAGAGGTAAATTTTGTGGGCAAAGGAATCCCAGTCGCATTTTTACCAAAGGAAGCCCATTTGACCTCAGGAATGACAGAGGGGTCGCGACCCCCCCGACCCTCCCCCTGGATCCGCCCTTGCCTTCCCACCCCAAAGCATTACATGCTTTTAAATTTTCATGTATTTTTAAAAAGGAATTAAGGAAGAAGAACTTTCTAATGAACTCTGGTTTACTTTCTATTGCCATTAGCAAAGTAAACAGCATTTCCCAATTTCCTCATTTTTAATAATTTTTTCTTGGCAAATACGCTGAGCACAATCTTTATTTCAATGTTTAACCTAGTTACCTTTTGCAGGTTTGATAAACTTTTTAGATCGGTTTAAATCTAATCCCCTTAAAAAAATAAATAACTAAAACTAAATTGTACTTGTAAAGAAGTTGGATTAAGAGTTATAAATATTTATTCATCAGTTTAAACACCCTTGTATTTGAGCAAATGCTTCGTCGTTCATGAATCTTCAAAAGTTTTTTACACAATAACTTAATAGTTTTTTAAATTTCTCGCGTGATGATTGGCTATTTTTTATCACCAATGAGAGGACAGACAAATATGCTGACGTCAACGAACGTGCACTCTTTCCGTTGGTTGTTTTGATCTCTAAAAACTAGAAGCTTTTTGTTTATTTATTTATTTATTAGTTTCGCCATATATTAAACTGGAAATATAATAAGTGAAAAAAAATACTGTGATATATATGACAGGGTGACCGCAACAGCGTTAAGCCAATTACTGCGTGTCCAACATAATGTCTTAAATGAAACTAGTGCATATGTTTTTATTGTTTTTGTTATTCTTCGCCTCGTGGATGATATATATGACAGGGTGACCGCAACAGCGTTAAGCCAATTACTGCGTGTCCAAAATAATGTCTTAAATGAAACTTAGTGCATATGATTTTATTGTTTTTGTTATTCTATGCCTCGTGGATCCACACGTCTTTGACAATGTGATGATACAGACATTAAAAACTGAAGTCCAATCGTCAAACCGTTAAACACATGAAGAAATAATACTGTAGTATTCAAGAGAATGCATTTGCTGTAATTAATGACACGAATTTGTTGAAGCGTTTMGCAGGAGTTGACTTGTCGGACAGGATGTAAGATTGAGTCAATGACAATTTTTAACATTGTAAAACCTATATTTGTTGAGTAGCATTGTTAATCAAGGATAATATCCAAGCTTTTGCGGAATTCAACAGAATTAAATTTTTTTTTAGATCTCGGTCGGTAAATTTTGTTGGCGACGATCAAACAATAGACTGCATGAAAACGTGCTGCATCTGTAGAAGAAGTAGCAGAAACGACAGACGTGTAGTGAAACTGTACTTCTTATTGACTCCAAAAGTCTTCATAAAAAAGGTTTTGCTTTCCCACTTTTGACCAACGACTCACCGCAGTTGTTTTGTGCTGTCTCTCTTTGATCGTAGCTCAAAGCTCATGCTTCTTCGTCCGGTTTCTTTTCGGCAAAGTAATGCCCTCTTGAAACCATTTCTAAAATTACTGTTGAATAGCAGATAAAGGCAAGGGTTGAGTGCCCCGTTTGTTGACGCTAAAAGAAAGCACAAAGGTCTGTAATACGTTTTGAATATGTACCACAGTTTGTCATCGTACCAGGCTTTAACCATGTGATAGGTAAAAAATGGCGCCCAACACAGGGCAAAGACTACGATGACAGTCACCATCAACTTCGTCGCTTTGAAAGCAGATTGTTTGGCTTGGATTTGCCTTTGTAGTGAATAACCACCAATGTTGGATTTAGAACGCATGCGTAGTCTGCATCCTGTCATAGTGTACAGTATTGTGGCACAGACAAGTGGTATTATGTAACAGAGTAACGCCATGATTGTCACGCCAACTTTGTAAGCCTTGTCACGATCAATATCATAACAACCAGGCGCAATTTCCCTTGCCTTAAATGTATTGACGTATCCTAGTATGATGGGAATAGATAGAATTGAACTCGCAGTCCAGATTACAGCAATATTGATCTTTGCCTTCCTGAAAGAATAGCGATAAAGAGGCTTAGTGACAGCCAGGTATCTGTCTACTGCTATGGCAACGAGGTTGAAGGTAGAGCAGGCAAAGGAAGAATAAAACAATAAAAATACAATTCTACAGAGGACCAAGCCCACCAGACCATCGATCCAGGAATACCCCTTGAATACAATCTTCAAAGACACCGGCGTACAAACTATAGCAGAGATGATATCAGAGAAAGCCATATTTGCAATGTACAGATTGACAGAAGTGTACATGGAGGGTGTGGTTCGTACCACGTGAATGACCAAACTGTTGCCAAGCAACGAGACCAGAAATGTCATTATGAAACCTACTGCCAGAGAAATGTTCAAAGTAGAAATGACATTTTCGTCGACACCTTTCTTTTGTGATGACGCTGTTGATGTAGGAAAAACTTTATGTCATATATTTATGTCTTACCATTAATTTCTCAGGTAGCGTTAGATAGCATTTAATTTAATACTTATACAGCAAAACTGGTATTGAACCAGATGAATATATCGTAACATAACGAATTAAAAACATGATTTAAAGTAACCTGTCAACATGACTGTCAAAAATTCTGATTTTTATCAAATGGAAATCTCTTTTTAAAGACCAACAACTCAAATCTCAAGCAATTAAACATTAATATAATCGACTCTTTTACTAAATTTTGAAAGAAGAGAGTGTGGCTTCATTTTTATGCGAGTATCTTTAGCAAAAATAATTTCAAGCAATTACCCATTAATATAATCGACTTAAATCAAATTCAACTTACAAAATTGATTTGTTGCAACAAAAAAACTTTTTTTATTTTACTAAACTTTGAAAGAAGAGAGTGTGGCTTCATGTTTATGCGAGTATCTTTAGCAAAAATAATTTTCTCAGTACCATAATGACATTCCTTCTACAACACAGCCAAATTTATACCATTTTATTAACCTTCCCTTTCTCAAAAGTACTATTGATGCGAACATAACATGGAAATACACAAGAAATGTCACACAAATTCCATCGAGAAAAAACACGATTTCTTTTTTATTTCCATGTTTGTCTCGAATCTATGATACGGGCTTATTGTAAAGTTGAAGTGGCTCCCTCATATTTTCTCCCCAATGGTCCTAAAACAAGCTTTAGTTTTGATGGAATTTGTGTTACTTACAATTTGTAGTGGGAGCACCAGTTGTGGCGTTGATGTTGTTTTCGCTACCATTACCATTCACTGACGACGAGCAAGTTGGCGACCAACAAGAAAGAAGCACCAAAATTCTTAAAACAAGGTTTGTAGAAAATTTATAGCTCATAACGTTAAACGTTATTGCAGGTGGAAAATTGTCGTATTTCGCAGTCGAAATTTGAGATGCGGATTTTTTTTGTTAAAAATGTAATTAAGACTACTGCGGCACACGGTATTTGTCCGAACTCCTTTGTAGCTTATCGCTTCGAGGCTTGTTCCTGGTCATGGTAAGGTTACTTCTGGAACTAAAGATTCAAAGCTGTAACGGATGTCTTATTTGGCACTTTAATATAGGACTGATTTCACTTTATTAATCCGACAGGGTGTTTGATGACTTACGACGGAAACAATCAAAAGTAAATTTAAAAATATTGACAATATGCTCGAGGTTATACTATGCACACACCCTTATATATCTTCCATTCAAGGAAAYTATTAAGTTTAGATGATAACGCTTTCATATTCCTATTATCCCTACACCTGTTCGTCGGGAGTCACCGCTTATCCGAAATACCATGGCAACTCATTGTTCCGACTCATGCGATGGAGAATCAATCGCCGTTGCAAGGGCTTTCCCAGTGGAATTAAAATCTTGTCCCACAAACAACTACACAGTATTTGTTTTAAAGAGTACTACAAGGATTATGAGACAATTTTCTATTCTTTTCGCAGGACAGTAAATTCTGGAAACGATTTATAATCAGTTTTCCGCGATCACAGTTTTAAATTCTGAGATATTCTAGATAGTTTGTTAAACTTGTGGGACGCAGCAACGCTAACTAAGGGGAGTCTTAACCATAAACTGCACTTTAAGGTCACTCCATCGTCGGAGTCGTCAAAGTTGTCTATAATGTACAAACATTTATTCAACTCTTTTGATCAAACCAGTTACAGAACAAACAAATGACTCTTTATCAAACCCGGGTAACAACACAAGCTTCAAATTTCCAATCATTTATTTAATTGTATAGTAAAGGCCTCCTCTGTCCCCTGTACAGTTGCCAATAAGTATGGTACATTTTATGTCTCTCATTAAGGCTTTTTTAATAAACACAATCACTTCCCCCATATATAACATTACTAATTTTTATTTATTTATTTAAAGGCCACTTTTTATCACACCTATCAGCCACTGGCCCGAATCTGCCGTTATTCGGATTTTTAATTCACTTCACTTGTATGGAATCTACCATTTTTACTTTCGTAGCGCTTTTCACATTTTTGCGACCAAGATAAATGCAGCTGGGGGCACTTTTCCTTGTGTCCTTTCACGACATTTAAAATTTATGAGTTTTTGATTGATTAACAGACGTCAAAAAAAMCCCAGGATTTTTGAAAGTTGAAGTCGCAAAAAAACTTTTTTATCACTTCATACTTTGCTCGATATTATCGAACATCTTCAGGCTTCGTAGACAAGAAGGTATTTGCTTGCTCGTATTTGCCAGAAATCAAATTTTGACTGGCCGGTTTCCTGCAGCGTTCAAACCTTCAAAACTGAGCCGTTTGGTTGATCTAAATTGATGCCCTCATATATAATAATGTCATTTCATTAAAGTAATGCGACACATCTTTGGGCTTTGACGCGCGCGCATTTCAATTTGTTTCATTACGTCACAGTGAAACTTTCATTTCCTAAATATTAACACCATTCGAGATTGCTTTCAAGAGTGAAAAATGCAATCATATGCAAAACATATTGCACCCACCACACACGAAATGAAGGTAAAGTTCTAAAGAAATTAATTCCGTGATTTGGTGAATTAAGAAATTCAAAACTCCACATCAAAAAGCGAGTCGCTTTTTCAAAGGTRTTTGTATTTTGACATGTTCATTCAAGTCTGGTTAATTTGAACTGAATTTAATTTTTTGTCGTAGTCTTATAATGGCAACACGAAAACCACCAGTGATTTTTCTGTCAACAAAAACACAAAAAAAGAAATGCATAATTCAAAGGCGATGCCGGTTGCGAAAGGGAACAGCATCAAAAAGAATGACAAAATAAACAACAAATCTTCAACCGATAGAAAAGCCTCAAAGAAAAGCAGAAAAGACAAGAAGAATCGAAGTATTTCAGATCACAGGAACACAAGTCTGGATGTTCCCTCAAAGCCTGTATTTTGTGGGGAGGAAGACAGACAGCTATCACAGGCAGCTGTTGACTTGGTATGCGACGTTTTGAGCTCAATAGAAGCAGAAGAAGACGATGACGTTAATCATTATCAAGTATGTGGAACAAGTGGAGAAATGTCTGCACATCGGAACAGTTTTCCATATTGCTATGCAAAACATAACAGATTTGTGTCATCAATTGTTGCAAAGAAGAAATCAGCGCATGACGACTTATGCAATGTTAGTAAATCTGTAGCAGGTACTGTAGAATTTTCGCTCGAGGGTAGACATGCTGGTCATTCCCTTGATAACAAAGGAGAAGTCGATTTAGATTGCGTTGCGTTGTAGCAAGCGCGATGAAAGAAGTTGAGGATGAATCTTTCCACGATAATCATAAAGCCAATGATTCCTTTTCGAATCAGACTGGAATAATCAATAATTCTGCCCCATCTAACGATAGTCGGAAAATTAGTAGAGGCTCATTCACGACAGATATAGTGGAGTCTATGAATGACGATGAATACTTGAAAAGGTCCCAAACTCATCAAATGTCTCTGGACAAACTGACAGGAAACGGAAAGAAAAAGAAATTAAAGAAAAGAAACAAAAGACGGGAAAGGAATGAAAATGGAATGAAATGAAAATTTGGAAAAGGAAAAGCATATAAAGAAAAAAGAAATCAAAAGAAATCRAGCAGTTTAATTAAACTAGGAAGAGTAAAACATTCCCACCTATTATCGGTATTTTTAATTTTCTCAATTATTTCATTGATAATAAAAAATTATTATCTATTATTTTAGCAATAGAGTTAAAGTTATATTGAATTCTCTACAGAGCTCACTTTACAGGTGGAAGGGGTGGTGGTGGAGGGGGAGGAGGAGGAGTAAAGCTACTTGCTTCTGACTGAGGAGGCGAAGGAAGTGAAGAACCCGGAGATCCTGTTGTAGGTGTATAAGGAAGCGGTTGTACTTGGCCCGCCTTGGAAGAGTTAGGARGTGGAGGCCTCGAAGGCGGAGATTTTTTAGTTTTTGCAGAATAACTTGGAGCAAGAGTTGTTGGCGGTGGCGGTGGTGTAGGCGGTGGTGGTGGTGTGGAAGAAATCTCCGCTTGTTGTACAACGGAAGGAGGAATAGAAGTAGTAAGTGGGGGTCGTGGTGGTGGTGGCCTCGGAGGATAAGATTTTGGATTCGGTTTTGTAGGAATTGGTGGCTTTACTTTCGGCCTTATTACTGTTGGTGCTTTTGTTGCACGAGAATTATTACCAGTTGGTGCCACCGCGACAGGTGGTGAAGGAGGCGCCGGGCGAGATTGTAGTGCTCTTGGTGGAGGTGACCTTGGGGGTCTTTTGGTTTCATCTTCACGGGGCCCATCTACACTTTCTGTTTCTTCTGTTCTGTCTGTGCTCAATAAGTGAGACCCGCTCGCTTCTGAGTCACTGTATTCAGTAAAGGACTCGTAGGTATGGTCAGAGTCTTTATCGTCACTGCCTTTTTTGTTAACCTGTGAAGATACAATGGGACAGCAACTGATTTTATTTTCTAACTAAAACTTCTTTTATTCAAAGCTATGCAAAGCTATTTTTGGGAGAGCATTCGATTCATTAGAAACCGTTGTATGGCGTTTACACTGATGACAATAAGATCTAGGCATTTAAACAAGCCAGGAAAAATGAAGGGCAACAGCTACTACATACACCGATAAAATTCAATATACGACACCGTAAGCTTCAAACGTATCCTTATTACGAGCTTAAACCTCTAGATTATAACGTGTAAGAAGAAGAAGAAGAAGAAGAAGAAGAAGAAGAAGAAGAAGAAGAAGAAGAAGAATAAAGGAAAGAAAGAATTATGACGATTGAGATGAAGATGACGGTGGTAATGCAAACGATAATGACGACGAAGAAGAAGAAACGAAAGAAGACGAACATGTATATGATGATGGAAGTGGTTTTTTTTTACCATTACCTTTTTCTTTTTAGAATGGAAAGCGTGTCTAAAACTTGACCTGATGGTCTTCAAAATCCCTTTTTTCTTTTTGTTGCTTCTATGAAAATATGTTTCTTCGGTATCGTAGGGACTCAGATTGGTAGAGTAAGACTTTCTCTCCCCTTTGCGTGGTTCTGTTCCATCTTTCTCGATATAACCTTCAGAGCTCGTTATTTCTAAATCGTTGTCGTTGCATTTTACCGCCAAGTAGACCATTCCACAAGAAACGGTTTGAAACCGCGCGCAATTATATTCAAATACCACAGTGTACAGTCCAGGTTTTCCTTTCGCTTGCTTCATGTCAGTCCATTCCGGTTCTTCATTTGGTAACGTGTCTGTCCATCGTGCGTATTTACGTATGTCTTTGTAGTTTTGTGGTTTCCTTGTGAGAGGAATGATGACCTCAATTGGACTTTTGAATTGCTGTGTTCTAGACGAAATCACAACCAAATCACTCAGGACACTCTCTGGATCTGGTTTGATGATTTTCTGATGACGTGCTTCGCTCACCTAAAGGGTAGAGAATTAACGTTAATCACAATCATATTTGGCTCTGCGATTTCCGCTTTTTCAAACGATAAGGTCTCGGTCCAAAACGGCACGTAAATATAATCAAAGAGATTTGTAGTTCTTACCAATATCGTGATTGACTGTATGTTTTTCTTAATAGCATTTGCAGGGACTTTGATCCTTATTCCCCTCGATGAGACCTCTCCACCGTATGACGTGAACGTTCCAGAAATCAGTTCCTCATAGCCGTCAAATACGTCAATCTTGCTACTGCGGTGATGTATCTTGGACCTTGATGGACCAATATGTACATGATCTTGCTTGTAGTTTTGCTGCATTTGTAACTCGAATCGTTCTAGGCTTTGCTTCGAGTATCGTTCTTGGATATTCGCTTCTAAAGTTGTTTCTATTTTTAAGGAAGAAAGGTAGTTATAAATTTAATGAAAAGAAGATGAGGAGAGAGGATGAATAAAGTAGGACAGTGTAAAAAGAGACGCTTTAATATCCAATAAATTTATCCACTGGATAAGATTTATCCGTTGAATAGCGCTACCCATGCTTCGTACAACCGGGACCAGCACCATAAATTACCTACCAGTCGTAGGGCTGATGTTAATATTATTCATTGACAGCGAAAGAACAATCTTAGATGTGCCTGTTTCATTGAACACCACTTGGCGTATGGTACCGTTCTTCATTTTTGCTTCAGTTCTGCAAAACGATTACAAGAAAAGTCACACAATAACAGTTATCTTTTTATAATAATGATTTTTTATCGCAACAGCTATACGAAGTTTCTTCAAACTAAAACCAAGAGTGTAAGTTTGAGATTTTACCAACCTTTGCAGGACGTTTATATCTAAAGTCATTTCGGTTTCCAGTTCATAGATTGCAGCAAGCCGAGAGAGAATCTCAGGCAGATGTTGTGTCTCTAAGATAGTGTCGTATTCCTGTGTGTGCAAAACCATGAAGCGATCCTCGTAAGGACTAAAATACAAAGAATAACGAATTGATTATGTTAAGAAAATCGTAATGTCAGCAATTGCCCAGACTATAATTAGGACAAGCATTTGTATAGGAAATCGCATGATCTTCCCGTACAATTTGGAAATTAATAGACACGAGTAATGTTTTGAAAGTTCTTGTAATTGCGCGAGCCTTTAGCTTTTAGCTTTAAAATTTTATTCATGTTTTTTAAGTACAAAATGATAGAAAATAATTGTTTTGACATTGTTTTGGCCGTGTTGCCATAGCGACTTAATTCGGTACTCCTCTCGACCAATCAGAGTCGAGTAATTTTGTTGAGTGTGCTATAAATCTATATACCGAAACATACTGATGAGTACGTTTTACTACATATACTGAACAGCTATTTGCAATTGACTAAAAARATAAAAATACATAGAAGTATGCTAACTATACCTTGTTGATACGCTTTTTAGGTCGTGCATTCTTAATTTTCTCTTGAGCTTGTACAATGAATCCAACGAAACTGCCTATTGAACACCAGAAAATTTTATAAGCTATAAATGGTTTGCTGAAAATAAATTGGCTTGCGATAGCGGTAACCTGTATAGATGACAATAATACCAGGGGCGGATCCAGGGGCGGTAAGTAGGTCAGTGACTAGTCACCCCACTTTTGCTCAAATTTCTCAGTATATCGCGATCGTTAGTAATAGTTACCCCCCTTTTCTTCGAATTCCTTGTAAAACCTTTGCAATAGTCACCCCCCCTAAAATTCCCCTAAAGACAATGGGTATAAGAACGAAAATGGAGGAGGAAATATGGGATGTAAATTGAAGAATGCAACAGGAAAGTCTTAAATGGGAAAAGGTTTGCAAATTTTATACGTGCCGGCCTTCGCTGGTTGGAGAAGTAACTAAGACGTGCACTTGAATGAAACACAATTGCACTGACATAGGATTACCTGGTCATGAGTCCAAATTACCTAGAAATGAATCTACATACCTTTTTGTTGGCGCCAACAATAAACAAGCAACTGGTCGACAGGATAAGGAACCTTTCTTGCCCCTATTATGATCATCAATTAGTACTTTATCTAGTCTCTAAATATTTAAGTCGTTAATTGTATAGCAATTTGATTTACAAATGGTTAGACATTCAAGTGGCCTAGAGGACCAATTGAAATGGCGGCTCTGTGAGCTCTCCCTCTTCATTTCACTAACCAATATCGTAGGGACAAAAAAAAAAAAACGACTGAGGACGTAACGAAACCCTGGCAGTGACCACCTTCATGTCTACACCTCATACTAACCACCTCTCATGATTGTAAAGTGCCTTTGAGAAAATGCATAGAAAGAGTGCTATATAAATTATATTTAATCATAATCACCCTGATCGTTAAGACCTACCATGCATTTTTTCGAGTATTTTATCACTTTCCCAGAAAACTCGACCAGTACATTACCTAAAACAGGAGAAAATCAAAGAAGAGATATGTAGCGAAGAGAGTTTTATGTATGTATGTGGTGTCTCTGGGGGATTGATTGGGTGTTTAAGAGCAGATCATGCGGCTGGATCGAGGATCAGAGGCTCGTAGTGAAACTTTAGCGGCAAAAATTCTGAAGGAATATAGCGAAGTTTTATTATGAAGCACCCTACTCGTACTCACAGGCTGGTCTGAGCCAACATAACTCAGAGAAACTAAAGTAATTAACAAAGAGGATTGTTACAGATATTATACATAGTTGATGGGAACTGTACGCATAATTGCAATTAGGATTCGTCCCCGAATTTAAACCAATGAATACTGATATTTAGGATAGAAAAGAGAAAATTCAGAAAGGGTTTGAACGAATCGAATTTGAAAAATTCCCCAATCCGCTTCGTGTTATTGTTCATGCCCTTCTCTCGTCGCGTTCTCTCAGCACCCTGCGTTTTTAGATCAAATTATCTCGAAAAAGTGTTTTATACACATAATATATACATATATATATATACCTATTGCGTTACAAAGGTAACTGCTTTCTATGACATGTAGATGGTCTCCGTCTTTGATCTTGATATCATCAGGTATATTATCGACGAACTTGGGGATTTGTTGTAGCATGTCTTTTTCTACAAAGAGTAAACCATATTTTAAGTTTCTTGTATATTTTATGTCCTTGTCATTTTATTTTTCTTCTCCTCAGTTCACAGCCTGAACATTGGAGAAGATAGGTTGTTTAAAATGGCCGCGAAGACAATTGAACAAACAACCATTCTCAGGGAAATGAGACGTGTTCTAAATAGAAATGGAAAAAGTTGTATCACATAAGCATCGGATATTATTAAGGAAATATTTAGTCAGACGCGTGAGAGCTTATGACACCAAAGACATTAAAGTGCCTCGAGTCAAAAGTTTCATTATCATACTGAGCTGCATTTCATATTTGCGACTATCATTATATATTTGATAAGGGAATGTTTTCCATCAATGAAAACCTAACCCAAGATATCATTCAGTGTTTTATACCAATCAAACGTGAAACATCAACACTTTATGAGCAATAAATACAATTGGTTCAAGAGTGGTTGAAATGAAGAATAATACCTTGGAGCTTTTCACGAATGAGCTTCTGTCTCGCTTTTTCTCTTCCTCTTTTTGTATGTCGATAAAATCGTTGAATCAGTATTGCAGCTAAAAACACAGGACATGCGAAGATAAATACACATGTTGTAAAGTCATAAAAGGGAAGGTTGACATTGGACTTGGGATCTATCATTGTGAAAATGAATTAATGTCTAGAAATGTGGCTTCAAACCAACGTAGTCTTTGCTCATTGGTGACAGCGAATATGTTATATGCTAATTTAGTTATCGTCAAAATGAATGAATTAAAGTGATACTATAACATGAAAAGGTAAAAAGCCTTAGAGTCCTTAGAGAACAATGAATAGAAATATAGCTATGAAATGATGGCAAATAAGAATTTAAAAACATAGAAAATCAGTGCTGATTTTATAAGGAAACAAAAAAWTTATTTTCGCTTTTTAGAATGAAAAAGATGAAGACTTTCCATTTTGGGGGATTTTTAAGGTGTAGTACTTTATAAATGTCATTGCATTCTTTGTCGATTAGTCAACATTATTCGGCTTATGCAACCCGTGTCGTTCGGTTGATCCAAGGTATGCAAATAAATAAATACATATTAATAAATAGGATTTAGCAGTGGCATTTCCACAGAGTGAGTCTTCATCCACTGAAATTCCAGTTGGAATTTAGAAGTTGATTTTTACGTATGTATATATACTGATATTTATAAAAATAGTCAGTCACCTCGACGCTGTCGTTTAAGAATATTGTAGGCCTTCCTTGCTTCATAGCCGCGATAATGAGCTTGTATTATCAAAGCACAACGTGTTAACAAAGGTGTCCGAGCTTCTTCCAGTTGATCGATCTGATGGAAAAAGTAGGGAATTTAAATATGGAAGCAAACATCAAAATGATCCTCAAGGGCCAAAATAAGCCTGCATTGTAAAGCCTTTATCCGAAATTATCATTTACAAAACGCTTATCGATAAGTAATATGTAGCAGGTATATGCGGGCATGCCTTACATATCGTTGCTAAGAGGAAATGTTTTGCAATAATGAGCAACAATGGCAAAAAGCGCTAAAAACTAGTCTTTCGTATTAGTTTTGATCCCAATTTTCGCTTTGGGTTAAGGCTCAAAACCTTTTTTTAACAGTTAGAAACTGATGTGCTATGATAAAATGCTATTTTGAAGCGGTATTTTCAATTGTACAAAGATGTTTTGTTGCATTTGTGTTAGAATGTAGCTTTGTCAGGCTTTTTTCATAACAAATGTATGGGAAATAAGCAAATGAAGGCCTAAACCTCATTTTCGATTCAAAAATTAAATTTTTGCTTTGGGTTAACACTTTGATTCCACCTTCATCGGTCATCTCCACTTCCAAACGAGTTAAACTTTCTGAATAACAAGATTTTAACCTTGTACAACAGCCTTTCTTCAAGAAAATAGTTTTTGGCGCTCACCGCTTGAATACRAAAAGAACTCTCTCTTAAGTTCTTATACTTGCTTGTGGAAAAAATCTATCCAAACTCGCTTTAAAATCTTACAATTTCCAGTTTTCAATTCCCACAAAACAATAGGGAATTACAATTTAAGCACGAAGAGTTCTTAAGCGACACCACTTCTTACAATTTTATCTAATACTCGGACGAAAGACTAGTACTCACGCATCCGAACGTCAGAAAAACGCCAAACTTTTAACACGCTGTAGAGCGGTTTCCTTCTTATAAACTCGAAACTTACCATTTTAGATTCCTTCATAAACAATTTGGTTTTTCCAATTTGATATTTCGTCAAATCCAAATTGCCTGCCTGCATTATAATCTTACAAGCCTTTACTTGGTCATCTCCACAACTTCTGACTGCCAATTGGTCAAACACTCGATATCTGTCAATAAAACCACATTTCTGAATATCATAACATGCAATAGTCGATTTGTAAATTCTGGCCTTACTTGCCATTATTTGATTGTCAGATTCATGAGTCAGGTAGCTTTCCCATCAAAAGGAGATTGTTAAATATCTTAAAGACATTTTGAGTCTCGTGGTTGTATGAAAAATTTGTTTGAGGAACCACATCACCTTGATGCAAGAATATTTAATTATTTTCTGTAATATTAAAGGATATATGGCATAAAGAGACAAATATTGAAGGACTGACATCAGTAAAAATGTCAAAGTATAGTTCTAGGAAGATACAAAAGGATCGTGATTTTGAAGATACTGAAAGGTTATCTGCAATCGTAAAAGCCCCCCATCTAGCGTAAACATATGCTGTACTAACTACTTTCCTGAGTGAATGAAAAGACGTTTAGATATGGATATGATCAATACGAAAACATAGTGTGACAGAGTCAAAAGACACTATTTTGGACAGTAATTATTTAGTCATAAATCTATATTTTTAATTAGGAATGCCTCGTGTACACATAGGAATGTAATTCTTTAGTTAACTGTTTGCGTGGAAAATGCGTAAGCAAGAAATAATTTCCGTACGTAATTACATTAC